CATGATTGGTATCCATTATGAAATTATATTAAATATAAGTAGCTTTTATATGTACGCGATGCGCGCGTTACACAAATCAAAATAATTTACATCATTAATTTTGTAAAAAATATTAAAATACCAAAATCTAATGAGTTAAAAATAGAGATGGCCCAATATGTGAAATGACCTGTTCACATATACTTAATTTCAGTTCAGTTCAGTTCAGTTCAGTTCAGCTCCTAATTTCCCTCTCTCATAAAATATTCTTTTCAGCTCAGTTCAGTTCAGTTCAGTTCAGCTGAGCTCCAATCAATTCAGCTCAGCTCCAATTAGTTTAGTTCAATTCAGCACAGTTCAGTAAATGTGAACGGGCCCGAAAAACTTAAATCAAAACAGTAGGTAAAGTTAAACCAACTAATAATATGATAATTATTATCAAATAGATCGAATAAGATTCAATCGTCACAAAAAATATATGTATATACTTCCTTGTTCTATTAATATTGCAACAAGGAGGAAATTACGCATCCCAAAGCACATTTTACATGCTAAATATCTATAATTGTGTAAGAGTAAAAATTATAAAAAGTTGATATTGTGAAAGTATTTTATGAGACGGATCCAATAAGATCCTACATGACTATATTTTACTCAACGTATAAATATAAGGTCAAACAAGAGTGATGAATAGTGCAAAAAGTCCATTGTTGCAATATTAATAGAACAGGGGAAGTATTGAACAATTTATTATCAACTAAGTGCCTGTTCAGATTAATTTATTGAACTGAGCTGAACTGAACTGAACTGATTGGAGCTGAACTGAACTGAACTGATTGGAGCTAAATTGAACTGAACTGAACTGAACTGATTGGAGCTGAAATGAACCAAAATGAGTATTTTACTTAATTCCCCAGATTTTGTTTATCTGAGGGTATAATTGTCTTTTCAAGTATCAGTGGAGGGGTATATGCGTCTTTTCATGTACTAATTGAGGGGTACATGTGTAATTTTCTCACCAAACAGTAAAAGCAAGTTGCAAACAGTAATTGGACAGCTCACCAAAAGTACTGAATAAATGACCTTGCTTTTTCAATATATTTACAAAAATGCCATCAGATTAACAAAAATTCGTTTATCTGACACATTAACTTGTATTTTCCCTATATATTGTTAGTTAGTTAGTTAATAAATTGTTCAATTAAAATAACCAACAACAATGTTTGATCAATCTCTTATTATTTGGGGTTGTTAAATGATACCCACATTTTACCATGTAACACTCACAATTTATACACGAAATAACGAACATACCCTCACGTGTTTTACATATTATTCACCCCTCTAGTTTAATTTATCTTTCTCTTCTCCAAACAAACCACCACTGACTGAAGGAAAAATTATTACAGAATTTAAAGTCATGTATAATTCTAAGGGAAAACGTCTCGAACTTTCGAAATTCCAAAGGAAAAATAATTACTCCAGACGTTTCTCTCGAAAGTTTTAGATGTTTCTTTTCAGTTTTTTGCGGTTTTTGAATTTTTATCGTAACTTTTTATCCCAAAATAGTGCAAGGGTGTCGGTTTTAGATCGAATTTTGTATTTTGACAATTAATTTTGTCCTAAATTTTAAAATGATTTCAAATATTAAGCATTTACTTATGGAAAATTTAGAAATAATAATCCCAACTTTGCTCCGTTTTGTTTTAATAATCCCAACTTTGGATTATTCTACAATAATCCCAACTTTGGGGGGGGGGTGTTTTGTTTCTTCAATCCCAATGATCGGTTACCGGTTGAATGGTTTTTTTTATTATTTTTTCTTTAAATGACATGTGGCGCATTTTTATTGGTTAAATTTTTTTTTTAAAAAAAATTAAAAACAAAAAAAACCCACCCAGCCAAACCCCACGCAGCACCGCCCAGGCGCCCAGAACCTTGACGCCGACCAACTGCCCCCACCCCTACATCGCCGCTATTCCCCCACCCCTTAAGCACCGCTATTCCCCCTCCCACAACGCCTGTTTCCCCTCTCCCTCCGCGCGACCCACCAACTCACCACCTTCCTTCCCTCATTTTTGACCCTCGAAACGCGTTGAAAACACCTTCCCCACCATCAAATCTCCCTTAAAACACTTGATAGGCCTTAAAACCACCTTCCCCACTTTCAAAAACCCCAAACACCCCTCCCTTACCTTCGAAAACCCTAGCCGCTAGGGTTTTGCGGTGGTGGAGGAGCGGTTTGGAATTTATGGGAGTGGGGGATGGGTTTGCTTGGTGTTGCGTGGAGTGTTTCGAGGTAGCTAGGGGAAATTGGCGGCCGCTCGTCGGAAAGAAATGCAGCGGCGGGCTGGGTAATGGTGGGGTTGAGGTGGGCCGCCGGTGGTGGAAATGGAGGAGGGCTGGTGGGCGTGGGGGTTGCTGTTCTGATTTTTTTGTTTTTTTTATTTTTATTTTTTTGGACCAATCAGGACTTGACACTTGTCAAGTGACCTGATATAATAGGTCATTGACTTTTGTTGACCGGTTTGGGATTGAAGAAACATAACACCCCCGAAAGTTGGGATTATTGTAGTATAATCCAACGTTGGGATTATTAAAACAAAACGGAGCAAAGTTGGGATTAATATTTCTAAATTTTCCTTTACTTATTACTTTCATAACGTTGACTTTTGTTGATCACGAAAAGCATAAACTCTTAAATGGACCAGGTCTAAAATAATTTATTATGAACCACTAATATTAGAGACACTATGATTGTTTTATTGATAAAAAAAGTCACTCTATATATATTATTTTGAAATAAAAGTCATTGTAATATTATAAAAACTATATATAAGAGGTTATTTTATTTTTTAATGAAATTTTTTATATAGTGACCAATATAAATAATAAAGGTTACTATCTTAAAATTTAGGTCCATATGTTTAACATAACGTCGTAGTTTAAGTTCACAACAATATTAAATGTTAACAAGTTTTAATTAAGATTATTATGTTAAAAATAGGGTTACTGCACTTCATATAACGTCAGTTACAAGCGTATAAACCTCGAGTTTACAACAATAATATTATACATCAGGTCCATGTAAGATTTTTTTTCACGAAAAGTAACAAATTGAGTTAATGCCCAAAATAGCTGGAATTGGGATTATAAATAAATACAAAAGTACTGTATTGTTTTTCATCATTGTTTGGGCTTCTGCTCAAAGATCTTGGATCCTTCATGCCAAAATAGTTACCCAATTCAACTAATTTTAGGTTGGGCTGGCTGGTTCGAGAATTTTGAAGCTAAGATGCAATATATATATATATATATATATATATATATATATATATATATATATATATATATATGTTGTAAAATAAAGGGGGAAAGATGAGATATTGAGAAAGAATTAATATGTTCATATTATTCCATATGATAGGGGTATATATATACATAGAATATTATAAGTAGGGTTTGCTTAGATAAGAATAAACTCTAGATCTAGAATATTCTGGAAATATAGAAAGAGGATAATGGATATCCACACAATATTTTCATAACAATATATATATATATATATATATATATATATATATATATATATATATATATATATATATATATATATATATATATATATATATATATATATATATATATATATACTGGGCTAAAAAATCAAGTTTAATTAATAACCCCAAACTTAATTAGGCGAAAGATTATGCCCAAATCATGTCGGGCCAAGATACTGAGCTTTAATTAGTTATTGTACAAATCTATACGATTATTGATAATCTAATGTGGGCAATGCTGCTAGTCTTGTTTGAGAGATCTTTCGATTTAGGCCCCATTCTCTTCACGTTATTTTTGTTGAAATTAAATTATTTTTACAGAAACAAAATTATTTGCTGAACTTAAATTATATTTACTGAATTGAAATTATTTTTGCTGAACTGAAATTATTTTTACTGATTTTCTATTATAATTTTTCATTAAGAAAACTGAATTTTAATGAACTGAACTTATTTTTACTGAACTGAAATTATTTTTACTGAATTGAAATTAATTTTATTAAACTGAACTTATTTTTACTGAACTGAAATTATTTTTACTTAATATTATTTTTGTAAGGTGAAGAGAACAAGGTCTGATATGGTATGATCTGATTTAATAATGTAACTAAATTTTAACTGCATTTTAATACGAACCTGTAAAGAAAAGAATTATCAAAATGAATCTTGTTAGATTTGTCTCATTATGAACTTTTCAAATATGTGATTTTCATAATTTTTTGTAATACACAATTAACGATATTTAGCAATAAGTAAATGATAATTAAAAGTTCTAATAATATGAATTTATTAAAGAATAAGTAATAAGTATGTACCTAAAATAAGTTGAAGAGAACATGTCCTTAATCCAAAAGTAAGGTCGGCTACATGAACCAACATGAGGAATATTCAAGAGGTCTCTCATTCTAGTATTATTCTCAATCATGTCAAGCAATGTGACAAAGCTTTACATTGATCGTCACTAGCCTACCGTAATATATATTTTAAAGGTATAATGGTTCAAACACTTATAAGAGTTGTCTCAAACTTTTTAAAAGGTAGGGATTTGATACTAATCTATTCTAATAAATACTAGCGGTTATTTTTTTGAACGAATGTATCTAATAAATTTAAAGCAACGTCATTATATTAAGATTAGAGGTGTCAATTCGAGTATCTGAATCATGTTCAATGAGGTATTTCAACGTTGAGCGATGCTTAATTATTGTGTGATTGTGTCCGTACGAGTCGAAATTTAAATTGATTTTTATTTTTCAAATCAGACCTGATCGGGTTAGTTTTGGACACTTCATTCAAAATAATATACATTTGATTATCCTCTATATAATGATGCAAAATTTTACAAAAATATTGTTGAGCATTAACTTTCTAAATTTAATTTTGATCAAACTTACAATTGGAGGCTTCGCCCGGCTATTAACTAGTTTTTTCCTACAAATGTCCCACATTCAATTCAATGATCTAGCCCGATCCCCATGGGTGCTCCCTGAAGACATCCTTCAAGGAGACAAAGCTAGGCACATGAGCAATGACCGGAAAGTCGAAAATCTCGACTGTCCGAAACCGCCTCTCCCGGAGATTATAAAGTTTGACAAAGTGATTAGCACACAACATTAGTATCTCATCATTGTCACGAATATTGATCACTTGAATACTCCGGTACGGGTTGCACCAATCGATGAAAAAGTCCCTAATCGAGAACCTTAGAGCCCATGATTCTGGCACGCCGTATTTCTCCATCACCCAAACTTGTATATCCGGCCTAAATGCCTTTGCATCAATCGCACATATTGAAAGGAAATTACCTATGATCCCCAAATTTGACCAATGATACTTGTTTTTCTTGTGTGATGAAAATATTGGTGGTGCTTTAATCGCCTTGAAATTCTCCTCTATAAAGTCAAATCCACAAATTAGACTATTATTATTGTTAGCATTAACATGATCATTTCGTTTATTATTTTTGTCCAAATTCCAATGAAGTGTATTATTGATGAAAAAGCCGGGAATTGTTGAGGGGATAGGAAATGGGGCATCCCCAATTTCTCTCCATTTATTCCCTGTTCCAAGATCATATATCTCGACCCGCCATCTTGAAGGCGGGTCTCTTTTCTTGTGAAAGATGCGGAGCACTTTATACCGATTGGTATGCCCGCAGAGCCCGAAACCCGCCACCACGTTATTATCATCTGCTGTGGTGGCGGGTTTCGGGACGACAATCACCTGACGGGTGATTGGATTCCAAATCAAACTGGGCTCCCCGGTTTTCACCCCCCTCAAACAGATCAACCCATTACACCCATTTCCGAGTTGAATGTTCATATTTCGAATATCAACTACATGATCACGAGAATTCGTTGTAAGCTGCATCTTAGCAATGCCACAACTTTGCCGATCGATTACAGAAATTTCTTTCAGATTTAGCAGCGAAGATGACATTTCTTTAACTTCAAAGAATACAGTTGTTGGAATATGATGAGAATATACTTGGTAGAAATAAGAATCCGAGATTAAAGATCGCCATGATTTGCAAACAAACTTGCAATTGATTACCGTTTTTAGAGGTAATCTTCCAAAGATGTTGATCAATATGCTACCTGGTAGATCTGATACTTTTGCAACCCCAGAATTTGATGATGATGATGATTCTAACATCAGAAAATTGAATTCTGAATCTTGTTTTTGTTTTTTATTTGGAAACATATTAAATCAATGGTGTAATACTCTTGTTTACGATCTATTAATCTGATGAAAAAAGTTAAAAGTGTTATAACAAATCACTTTTAAATTATATTATGTCTATAGGAGATTTTTCAAAAAAATAAAATAAAATAAAATAAAATACAAACTATAGGAGACTCTTAAAGTTTTATAAGTTATATAGCCTTTGGTAATTTTATATATGTAAGACGTTTAATTTCTTAATTAAACACGAACTCATAATTAGACAATAGTAAAATAGGAAACTTACACAGTTTAAATCCGATTACAAGTCGTATTCCTGGTATGTTGCAAACTTGCAAAGTCCCAAAAGATAAAATAATGGGGATTTTGAAGAATTAATTTAAGAGAGAATTTTTTTATACTAGTATATTTTTTTAAGAAAAAAATCTTATATACTAATGTACTACTTTCTCCGTTTTATTAATATTACAATAATGGACTTTTTGCACTATTCATCGCTCTTGTTTGATCATATAATATGAGTTATACGTTAAGCAAAATATAGTCAATTATACTAATGTACTACTTCCTCCATTCTATTAATATTACAACAATGGACTTTTTGCACCATTCATCGCTCTTGTTTGATCATATAATATGAGTTATACGTTAAGCAAAATATAGTCAAGTGTATCTTGTTGGATTCGTCTCATAAAATACTTTCACAATATCAACTTTTTATAATTTTTACTCTTACACAATTATAGATATTTAGCATATAAAATGTGTTTTGGGATGCGTATTTTCCTCCTTGTTGCAATATTAACAGAACGGAGGAAGTATAATATTAGTATTGTCAAATTTCAAACCGAAACTGTTTAACTGCACGAAACAATCCGACCCAAATGAGAATCGAACTGAGTAAAAACCCTTTTTTTGAAACCGAAAACCGACCCGAACCGTATGTGAATGAACCCGAAACCGAACTGATCCGAATAGCGTTACACCGTATAAGAACCAAACTCGTTAATGAACCGAACCATTTCTAAACCGAACTGAAATCAAACCGAACCGAAAAAGAACCGAACTGTTTCTAACCTGAAACCACTTTCAACCCGAAACCATTTGAACCGAGATAAAAATTGTTTACACCAAACTGTTAACAACCAGCGACCCGTTTGCACCGAACTACTGTATATAAACTGAATTGCTTGCAAACCGAATTGTTTATGAACCGGACCGCTTATAAACGAATCGGCTACAAATTGCTTACTATAAAGAGAATATTAAAATCAAGTTAAAAGGTGTTTTAAATGAAATTTAATTATCATAGTACAAAAATTCTTCCTGCCAAATTAATATATATTGAAAATTTTATTATCATAGTATAAAATATCTTCCTGCCAAATTATTATCATAGTATAAAATATTTTCCTGCCACTAAAAATCCTCCTGCCATAAGTTATAATCTGAACCGAACCAATTATAAAAAGAACCGAACTAGTTATAAACTGAACTGAAAAAGAACCGAATTGTTTCTAACTCGGAACCATTTTCAACCCGAACTTGTTTGAACCGGGATAAAAACCGTTTACACCGAACCGTTAACAAACTGCAACTCGTCTGCACCGAACAGTTTACTACCCGGACTGTTTACAACCCGAACCGAATTAAAACCGCTCAAGAATAAACCAAAACCGAATCGAACCGATAACTATTTAAACCGAACTGGAACCAACATGCGAGACACTTAAACCAATTTCAAACCGATTTGATTTAATACCCAACCGATTTCAAACCGAACTTAACCCGAACTGTCAAAATGACAGTGCATGCGTCTATATATGTATTCATAAACTGTGCTAATGTTCTACTCCGTAGAATGAAAAATAGTTTTTTAAATTAAATGAAATACTAAGACATATTAGGAAAGTCTTATTTCAAAAAAAAAAAAAAAAAAAAAATAGGAGAGTCTTATAAGTTACAGCCTTGGTAATTTTATATATCTAATTTTATATATCTAAGATGTTTAATTTCTTGACTAAAGACTCATAAAGTCATAATTAGTACAATAACTAGATGAAAGCCGTGCAATGCACGGTTTGTTAGTATTTTTTTACAAAATATTTTTATATTTATGTGATTAAAATTGTTATTATATTAGTTTTAAAATATTAGATAAATTCATAATCACAAAAGATAATATTTGTATTTAATTAGGGATTTTTTAGAAAATAACACCACAAATTTTTTAAAAAATGGATTATAACACCACCTTTTCTCAAATTTGTATTATAACACCACATAAAAATCAAAAAAATTTGATTTCACCACCAATAAACGGATTTTTTTGATGGAATCCGTTAGTGGGACCCAACAAATACACGTGGCACTAATTGATTAGTTAAAAAAAAAGAAAAAAATATAAGCCAAAACCCTAACCCAACCAGCCTTACCACTGTACTACCTTACCGTCAGCAACACAACTCCAGCCGAAAACCACCAGTACCCCACCTTGACCGGCGAAACCAAGCGACTTCCCCCCCTACGCCGGAGAAACCAATCGAGCGACCACCACCCTTACATGTTCACCCCTTCCCCCCTCCTCGAAAACCAGCCCAGCCAAGTCGTTTAAACCGCACGCAAAACCACCGTGTAAAACCACCCCCTTTTGCCCCAATCACCGGCCAAATCGACCATCGAAATTGCTCATTCTAGGTTTCCATGGTCGATTCCGGCCATTTTGGGGGTGAAAGGGTAAAGGAGAGGTGCGACTTTTGGCTGCTATAACGCCGATCGTTGGGGTTTAATTGTCAATGTTTGGTGTTTCAAGGTTGGGTTAGGTGCGTTTTCCGGTGGCTGGGGTGTTTCAAGGTGGGTTTTCGGTGGCTGGGGTGTTTCAAGGTGGATTTTCGGTGGCTCGGAGCTTTGGGGGTTGGGTTTGGGTGACGGTGGTGGGAACCCACCGGCGGTGGTGGCTGGTTTAGCATTTTAGGAATTATCTTTTTAATTTTTAATTTTTTTTTTAATCCAATAGATGAGTGACACGTGTCAAAAGTGAGCCCCACTAATGGATTCCATCCAAGAATTCGTTAGTTGGTGATGAAATAAAATTTTTTGATTTTTATGTGGTGTTATAATACAAATTTGAGCAAAGCAGGTGGTGTTATAATCCATTTTTTTTTCAAAATATGTGGTGTTATTTCAAAAAAATCCTTTAATTAATTTAAATTTTAAAATCTCATCTGACAATTTTGCTTATGTGTCATTTGTATAATTTAATTGTAAAAGAAATTAATAATGTCTTATTTCATTGTATATTTATGAAGATCATTCATTAGATATATGAAATTATGAATAAAATTCCTAATATTATAATTTTTAATTTTTAACACTAAAGTTATTTTTTGTTGTTTTATTTATTTTTTTTTTAAAAAAAATCTCGTTATTTTGTTGATCAAGATAATTAAATGTTAGTCTCATTATAATCGTTTAACTATTAAAAATTATGGGGAATTAGTCATTTGAGATTTAGTTTTATATTATTAAAATCAAATTTTTATAATATTTGCTAGGGAGATTAAAGATATTTGCGATAAAAAATTTGCATCCATATATGTAAAAAAGATAATTTTTTTTAGAAGATAATTATTGGTTTTTAAAAATAATTTAAATTTTAATTATTCTCAGTTCGTTGTTTTAACCTCTGTCTCAAAATTTTTAAATCTTATTCGTCACGTTTGCTTAGATGGTGAGTTAAGTTTTTAATTCTAAAATAATTTATTAATCTAATTTTTTTTTTGGACAAAAAATTACCTTTTCTTACGTGACCTGCCAAATGCTCCTGAAAAATGCCTACTTTATTTATATAAATTAGATTAGATTAGATAAGAAAATAACACAGTTCTAATATGATTACTAGTCGTATTCCTAATATGTTGCAAAGTACCCAAAAATAAAATAATGGGGATTTTGAAGAATTAATGAAATATTTTTGCTACTAAAAAAAAAAGAGAATTTTATTATATTTTAAAAAAATCTTTTGATTGGTTGATGATAAAGAGAGAATCTTATGATTTGTTTGTATCACATATTTTAAAATTTATTAAATTAACTTTAAATGCTTAACTTACAAACATATTTTTAAATTAATCAATAAAAATTAAACAAAATTTTAAATTTATTAACTAAAGGAACTTTTTATTATTTTTTTTGAAATAAATAAAATATCTATTAAAGGAAATTTTTATTAATTAAATTAGGATAATAAAACATAAATCCTCATATAAATTATTATAAAAACGACCAAATAAATTATTATTATTTTTTTTTACAAGAAACCAAATTACAATTAAATACACAGGAAGATATATATAATATAAGATAAATACAATTCTATGTGTTATCTAGTAGGATAAATTATCCAAAAAGATCTCATCAATTTTACTTGTCTTTTCTCATTAAAGAAAAAGATGAAGATTCATACGATTTGTCTGATTTACTTGTCGTAGCGCTCTTCTAATCAATGGAGAGCGTAAGATCATATTCGGGTTCAATTCCATTCGTTAACTCTATCATTAGGTGTAAGTTTTGATATTTCATTGCTTTTTAGGTTTTAATATGCTTTCAAATAAATTAAATTAACAAATACATAAAATAGAATCAAATATTATTAGTTCAATTGTTCGTTTTTTTATTTGTGTATGATAAGAATAAAATCTTCCTTATATGGGGTTGATACCTCATTTATGTACCTATTAATTTAGATTTCATTTCTACATGTTGTATGACTTTCTATTTTTAAATTATTGATTAGTTTTTTAAAAAAATCTAAAACATATTATAAATAACCGTAAACTTAATTTGAAAGATAAATGTAAATGATAACTACATGCATTTCCCTTGGTGATTTCAATAAGGTCATACATTTTCTTTTCACAACATAGGACACTACTCCAGAAAACAAGCATATGTACGAGAAATATATATCGCCCTCAATCTCTTTAAGATTAGGACACTTGGATAATTTACGAGAAATATATAACGTTGTAAATCACTCCAAAGACATAATACGAAGTATAAGGAGTACAGATAAGTAAATGCTACTTCTATTTAGATTGGTCTCGATAACATGTTTTAAAAATTAAGTTTTTATTAGAAAAAAAAAATCTAATATATAATTGTAGAGTAAGTGAATGAGGAGCCTCCAAAACCTCATTCCTCAACTCTCATGCATTTTTTTTTTAAAAGAAAAAAATAACTACCAATCCCACTACTTTATTATATATTTTTTTTAAATCAATAACTACCCCATTCAATATTTCCTTTTTGTTTTTCTTTTTGTTTTTTTTCCCCAATGACTACTACTAACATTTTAATTTTTTTTTTTGCATTAGCACAATTATTCAATTCTTTTATCAACAATTCAATATAGCACTCAAAATCCCCAACATTTCATTTTTTTAAAAACACTACGTACTAACATTTCACTTTGTTTTATGAGTTTTTTTTTTTGGTACATAGTATAATATATGTTATGCGTTAGCACGAGTATACATTTCCTTTATCAACAATTCACTATACTACTCTAAATCCCCAACCCTTCAATTATATGCATTTTTTTAGAGACTACCCTCCAAACATTTTCCACATCTTTAATCATCAAAAAAAAAAATGTACAACTGGCCTCGACAAATAACTACTTGCAACAGAACAAAGTATGTAACCCCTAGAGCAAGACACTAACTCATATGACACTAACCGAGTAACACGAGTAACTCCTATAATACTAAACGGGCAACCTCGATCTATAACTTTGAAAAAGTAAACCCCATAATAGCATTGCATGGCCACCGACATAAAAGAGTAAGACTCTGTTTTTTAAGCTTCTAAGCAAAGCATAGAATATCATATTTCAGCATAGCACAACAGGTGTCAACACATTATTAATACGATTATTAATACTCAATACAACAGAGCTAATTAGGGTTCAACAGAACCGACCAATCCAAAATCAACCATTATAGCTCAAGCCTAAATTACAACATCAAAATCAGCTTTCTATATTTTAAATATATTTTTTTCTTATATATCCCGTGCATTTTGCACGGGTACACTCTAGTTGTGTAATATGCAACAGTAAACCTCATTTTAAAAAAAAAAAAAAAATTGTTATGAATTACTTGCTTGGTCAATTAGTGAACTACTCCCTAAAAAGTATATATATTAAAAACAAAAAAAAAAAAAAAACCTACCCTCAAATTTAAAAAGTTTGTTAGCATTACCTTTTTTTCATTTGAAAGGGCCCATTTGTAATTTCTCGTCCGAAAAAAACATACTCACTCTCTTATATTTTAACCAACCTTCTCTTATTTGCAAAAACTCAACCCAAAAACCAAATTTTTGTGAACTAAATCGTTTTTCTTTTTCCTTTTTAATTGGTGATTTTTACAAAAAAAAATTGATTTTTTAGGTTGAGTTTTTGCAATGAAGATGAGAGTTATGATAAAAAAAAAATGAAGATGAGAGTTGGTTAATGTACACAAGGGTGATGATGTTTTTTTTGGAGAAAAAATAACAAATGGGCCCCATTCGTCGGAATTAAATTAGTTGCCGAAAAATAAAAAAGGATAGTGCTACCCAATTTTTTTAAATTTGAGGGTAGTTTTTTTATAAAACCTTTAAACACGTAGTTGTTCATAAATTAACATGTTAAGCGAGTAGTTCCTGACAATTTTTCCTTTACAAAACAGATAAATGATAAAAAAAAATTATTCACTTGGGTGCATGGTGAACCCGAGAGTATTTTTTTGCTCATTTTGATAATAATTGCTCATTTTATCATCAAATGAACAAACAAATATTTTTGAATGTACCGTACTTCCGAGTGTGAATAACAATCTCTCATGAGTCATGACATGATTGGTATCCACTATGATATTATATTAAATATAACTAGCTTTTATATGCACGCGATGCATGCGTTACACAAATCAAAATAATTTACATCATTAATTTTTTTAAAAATATTAAAATACCAAATTAGACAATAGTAAAATAGGAAACTTACACAATTTTAATACGTTTACAAGTCATATTCCGCAAATTTTGAAGAATTAATTTAAGAGAGAATTTTTTTTTATATATATTAAAAAAAAAAAAAAATCCTTTTATGATTCAATTTGAAAAATAGTTTTTTAAATGGGATGAAATACTAAGATATACAAAGTACATACTAGGAGAGTCTTATAAGTTATAGCCTTGGTAATTTTATAAATCTAAGATGTTTAATATCTTGACTAAAGACCGTTCAAAAAAAAAAAAAATTTTGAGTAAAGACGAACTAATAATTAGTACAATAATAGGAAACTAACACAGTTCTAATACAATTAGTAGTCGTATTACTAATATGTTGCAAAGTACCAAAAGATAAAATAATGGGGATTTTGAAGCATTAATTTAAGAGAGAATTTTATTATATTTAAAAAAAATAAATCTTTTGGTTGGTTGATGATAAAGAGACAATCTTCCGATTTATTTTTAGAATCACATATTTTAAAATTTATTAAATTAACTTTAAATTCTTAACTTACAAACATATTTTTAAATTAATCTATTAAAAATTAAACAAACTCTTACATCTAATTTTTTTATTAATTAAATTAGGATAATAAAAAATAAACTCTCATAAAAAAAAATTAAAAAAGATCAAATTAGTTTTTTATTTTTTACTAAAAACCAAATTATAACTATATACACACGAAAAGATATATAATATAGATAATATACTACTCCGTATTATAGATTAAGTAATACGAAGTAATTACCAAATTAGAGGATAAAGTTCTAAGTTGATTTGTTATCCAATAGGATAAATTATCCAGTTATATATATATGCTAATAAAAGTAGATAGATATTAAAGATAATATTTATAAAAAAGATCTTATGATATCTAATTGCCTATAAATATTAGCTCAAAATTCCTCATTATTCATCGTTAATTTTAAGTGTTTTCTCTGTTCAAAGAAAAAGATGAAGACTCATATGATTTTTATTCTCTTAGCCATTGTCACAATTTTCACGCCTTCAATTTTAAGTACGACTGTCTCTCATGATGGTCGCGCTCTCCTCATTAATGGAGAGCGTAAAATCATACTTTCGGGATCCATTCATTATCCGAGAAGTACTCCTGAGGTACATTATTGTTAAACTATCAACGTGACAATTTTTTTTTTTTTTTTAATAAAGCTATTTTATAATGATTTTAATGATGTTTTTTTTGGGATAGATGTGGCCGGATTTAATCAGAAAAGCGAAAGAGGGAGGTCTTGATGCCATCGAAACGTATGTGTTTTGGAATGCACATGAACCAGTTCGAAGGCAGTACGATTTCACTGGTAGGAACGACCTTATAAGGTTTCTAAAGACCATTAAACAGGCTGGACTATATGCTATTCTTCGTATCGGTCCATACGCTTGTGCTGAATGGAATTACGGGTAAATACATAATCTCTAAATATTAGCATATATAGACATACATTGTTTTTGCTGTTAGAACTAGTAATGGGACAACTAAATCTTATTATTTAGAGTATGCGAATAATTTATATTGCGACCTAATATGTGTTACATATGACTTGTTTTGAATAGAGGGTTTCCCGTATGGTTGCACAACTTGCCTGGGATCCAGATTCGAACTGATAACAAAGTGTTTATGGTAAACCTTAATTAGCCAATTTATCATGCATATTCTTTTTTAGACGTACAATATTCTTTTGTTTGTCTAAAATTATCATAAATTGTAACAGGATGAAATGCAAACTTTCACAACATTGATTGTTGATATGGTGAAAAAGGAGAACCTTTTAGCCCCTGAAGGTGGCCCGATTATCCTAACCCAGGTTTGTTTATCTATGGAATAACCCGAATTTATTAAAGGATAAAATATGGTCTCAGTTATTATATATCATTGTTAGACCGTCTAATAAAAGAATTTGTAAATTATATATGCTAAAGAATTGTTTTATTTCTCTTTTAATGACACGATAGATTGAGAATGAATACGGCAATATCATGGATCCTTATGGTGACGCCGGAAAAAGATACATCAATTGGTGTGCAAAGATGGCCGTAGCTCAAAACGTTGGTGTCCCATGGATTATGTGCCAACAAAGTGACGCACCCCAACCAATGGTACATATTATAAAATCTTACCAAATCAACAAATTTATTATTATCTTAGCAAATCAACAAATTTATTATTTCATTTAATTGTATGATTATCATCTAATCTCATAATTAATTGCATTACATTTATTTCTCTAAATCAGATTAATACTTGCAATGGATGGTATTGTCACGATTTCACTCCAAACAATCCCAACAGTCCCAAGATATGGACCGAAAATTGGACCGGCTGGTTAGTTGATTATATAACTTATTATAATATAATGTTTAATTATGTTACATACCCACTATACTAAATTATGTTCAAAAATAAAATATGAATTATATGTTTATGTTAATTTAACGTGAAATTATAGGTTCAAAAATTGGGGAGGTAAACTTCCACACAGGACTGCTGAAGATGTTGCCTATGCAGTTGCACGCTTCTTCCAAACAGGAGGCACTGTACAAAATTACTACATGGTAAATAAACAATTTCTCGAAAATTCGTACGTGCTCGAAAATTTAATGAATTGTTACCATATATAGCTAATAAGTTGTGATTCTAATTTTAGTACCATGGTGGAACAAACTTTGGAAGAACTACTGGTGGTCCGTACATCACTACGAGCTACGACTACGATGCACCCCTCGATGAATACGGTATCTAACCCTAATTCATCAACAACATAATACATGTCGATTAATTCTAAGAAATCAATTGAAGAATTTGTTAAAGATATATTATCTTATTACTATCTTTAACATAAATATAGATAAATATGTTATTCTCCTAATAAGATCAATATGAAAAATATATCATATATATTTTCCGATATTGATGATATCATATCTCTAACATAATTAACAATTTTATGTGTTTAATTTGTATGATTTGTAATGTAGGAAATTTGAATCAACCTAAGTGGGGCCATCTCAAGGAACTTCATGCAGTGTTGCACTCAATTGAAAAAGTTCTCACCTATGGAGACATTACCAAAACTGATTTGGGCAACAATGTTACGGTACACAAATAATTAAACTTAATGTTTATAATATGAATTGCATTAGAAATTAGACGTATATATATAACTTTATTGTAATTTTAATACGTTTAGGTGACAACTTACAAGACTAGTGTGATCTCGAGTTGTTTTATTAACAACGATAACACATCCAATGATGCAACAATAACATACAATGGCAAAAACTTTACCATTCCTGCTTGGTCCGTTAGTATCCTTCCCGATTGCAAGAATGAAGTGTACAATACCGCTAAGGTGAGACTTTACTTCCGTGCACATTCACATATATAGCGTGAATTTTATAACTATTAGGTCAAATTAGTTAATTAACATCGATTTGATTGATTATAGGTGAATACACAAACTAATATCGTGGCAAAGATACCTAATGGAGCCAAAAAAGAACCAAGTGCTCTTACTTGGAATTGGACCCGTGAAAGGATTGGTAAGTTTGCCAAAGGCGGTAAAGGTGACTTTGCTATGGATGTTCTCCTTGAACAAAAGGCGGTTACTAATGACTCTAGTGACTACTTGTGGTACATTACAACGTAAGTATTGTACAAAAATTAAATTTCGTCGTTTTTTAGATCTATCCATATATATTGGAACTAATATATGTTTTTGTGGTTCGAATTATGATTTCTTAGTTTCCACCTTGAGAAAAATGATCCACTTTTGAGTAATGGCGACTTGAAGCTTAATATCAATTCAAGTGCTCATGTTCTACATGTTTATGTTAATGGCCACGAACTAGGTAAAAATCGATACTAATTTCGTTACATGACTATATTATATTTACTTGATTTTTAGCCGATTTAACTATGTAACACAATCTAATTTATTTATTTATTTTATTTTCGTGTAGGATACGAATATGTTAACACTTCTGCCTATGTCTACACTTTTGAGAAGAAGGTCAATTTGAGAAGTGGGAAGAACATAATTGCACTCCTTAGTGCCACGGTTGGACTTAAGGTATAGTACACATTTTATTAGCATACGAAATTGCAAATATATATAGATTGTTACATGTAAATTAAACCTAAAGTTGTAAATCTTTTGCTTGTAGAACTATGGTTCATTCTATGACTTGACACCGGTCGGAATAACCGGTCCAGTGAAGCTAGTTGGAAAGCAAGGGGCCGTGCTCAAGGACTTATCTAACCATGCTTGGACATACCACACTGGTTTGGAAGGCCTCGATCATGACCATCTCTATAGCGAAAAATCACTCTATGTCAATAAGTGGAGGACTAGCCATGGCATGCCCATTAACACTCGAATGATATGGTACAAGGTAATAATAACACGCGCAATTTAATTAATTAGTTCGTCTTATTTATTCTAATTATTATTGTTACATGTATGTAACTTGTCACGTGAAATATAACTAATTGTGATCGATGATTGTATTTTAATTAGACGACATTTAAGCCACCATTGGGAACAGACCCCGTCGTGGTGGACTTAAGTGGCATGGGCAAGGGAGAAGCTTGGGTTAACGGATTGAGCATTGGACGGTACTGGCCTAGCTATGTATCGGATAATGACGGGTGTACACTTGAACCTTGTAACTACCGCGGTCAATATGATAACAACAAGTGCCTCACCAATTGTGGCAAACCCATCCAAACAGAGTAATAAATTCGCGTCTTTTTAACTAGTATACCACTTTTGTACATACGTACATTATGTTGAACTCTAAATTAATTGTTTTATTTGTTACATATATGTAGGTACCATGTACCACGGTCTTTCCTAAGGAGTGACGTGAACACCCTTGTTCTATTCGAGGAACTCGGAGGGAACCCAACAGGAGTTAACTTCAAGACCGTCCGAGCAGGAGGAGCTTGCGCGAATGCGTACGAGGGAAATTTACTAGCCTTGTCGTGTGAAGGCAGGCCAATTTCTGGTATAAAATTCGCTAGTTTTGGTGCACCTCAAGGTGTTTGTGGCTCTTTTGAGAAAGGTTCTTGTGAAAGTGCCAATGATGCTAAGAGCATCCTTACTAAGGTACATATATTTTTCACGTTACATATCATAATCCGAATTATTATTATTATTATTATTATTATTATTATTATTATACGAGTTTTAACTTCGGTTTTTAATTTTGGTAGGCTTGCGTTGGCAAAGAGTTTTGTCTATTGGATGTCTCTGAGAAGACTTTTGGTGCGGCTTCAAGTTGTGGAGACAAAACCAAGAGACTTGCCGTGGAGCTCGTTTGTTAATTATAGTTTTTGCCAATTATTTTTAGTTGTTAGGAGTAACGAATTATTCTTTAAGCAATTATAAGTATGAACCACACTAGTATTTACTTTCGTTATTGTTATTAGAGATAGTAGCGGGTTAATTATATATTTATAGAATGTTATTGTCTTTTATTTAACATCAGATCATCAAGCTTATTTTCGTTAATTTCTTGATTAGTTATATTTACGAATTTGATGCTTTCCTAGCTATAGTCTTGAAGAATGTTCTTTGTGGAAAATCCTTGAAGATATTTATTATAAAAAATAAAAAAATAATAATAAAAAATCATATAAGGTGTACGATTATGAGAAGAAATCTATGATAAAAGTTTAAAAAAAAAACTTAGGATAAGATAAAACAAACCAATCTCTAATATAAGATGAGATCAAAGGCCTAACTATTGGTTGGAAATCGGCAGCAAAAAGGACAAATTTGATTAAAGGCCTAATAATTTCTCTAAAATCACTCCGATCCTTTTAACCTAAATAAAAGTCATACTCCAATTTTCTTTTAAAAACTTTGTTGTTCTTAAATAAAACTGTTATTTTACATATATCTATTTAATTTCTTTTTTACTTTTAAAAAAAAATCAATTCCTACTCCTCATAATGAACTCAAATAAAATTTATCAAACCTGTTATTAGTCAAGCCTATGCAAACCTAGGTGAACTCGTAATTTCTTTATTTAGACTTGACATAGACCCTAGACTTATCCAATCCGAACTTGATTTGTATTGAGATTCGACCTTGATTCAAAGACGAGGCTTTTTTCGATCTTTAGATTAATTATAAACATACTCTCGCGGCCTCGCCCAATCCAATTTGACCTAACTTAAGACAAGCTACTTGGAGTGACTCAAAGTACGTTAGTCATGAAATAAGAACTCGATACTCAACCGATCCAAATTCGACCCAAATCCAAAAAAAAAAAAAAACTTGGCCCAAACTAATGCAGACTCAAACCAAACTAAGATTAAGGGCCTGTTTTCTTACGTTGAAATTCAGTTCAGTTCAGTTCAACTCAGTTCAGTTCAGTTCAGTTCAGCTCCTAATTTCCTTCTCTTATAAAATATTCAGTTCAGTTCAGTTCAGTTCAGTTCAGCTCAATTCAGTTCAGTTCAGTTCAATTCAGTTCAATTCAGTTCAGTTTAGTTCACTTCAGTTCAGCTCAGTTCAATTCAGCTCAGTTCAATTCAATTCAGTTCAGTTCAGTTCAGTCAATGAGAACAGACCCTAACCCCCTAACATGACATGAGTTGAAACTGACTCTAACTCAAATATAATTAAACATTTATCTTTTTACACCCGAATATGAACTGACTTGAAATCTCAAGCCAATCCGATTTGATCCTACACTGATTAACCATTACACAAATCCGATGTGACCGATCCATCCATAACCAATCCAAACCCAACTTATTAACTATATTTCCATATAATGTGCCCATACCCGAAAAATCGATCCGTAACCGTTCCCAAAATTAGGGTACCCGATTCGATAACCATAATTGTTCGGGTATTCGTTCCGATAATTTGTTATCGGGTATGATTATTGGGTATCATTTTAAAATTAATGGTTACCCAATCCGATCCGATAAACATTTTTTTTGCTTTTTTTCCCTACTTAAATCTTTTTTTTTTTAAAATCTAAACTCTTACTAAAATTCATAATTACTTTATAATATCAATGATTAGTAATATTATTAATAATTTGGTCAAAATCATATAATATTGCTGTTAATTGGTGGTAAATTATATCATAATAACTACATATTTAAGTTTAATTATCATTATTGGATACCCTATTGTGTACCCGATAACCGATCTGAAAATTCGGGTACCCGAATTTATCAATTCGGATTATGGATATCACTTTTAGAAATTTTGGTTATCAGGTATCCGAACCGATAGTACCAACGGTACGGATACCCGTCCCATGCTCTCCCCTACCTACAATGAATAATGGATACAACCATACCTCCGATGGATGTTAAAGAAACAAAACAATAAGTTGAGAATTGGGCAAGAAATGCAAGCCCATCCAAAGACCAATTAACCCATCTATTCAAACCATCAACCATTCAAGCCACCCACCCAACCAACGTTACAATTCTAGAATTCTCCTCTTTAACCAATTTTAAAACATAAAAACAAAACAATCTCCTTGAAACTTCTAGGGTTTCATTCATTATCCTTCCATCATCTAATCTTTCTCACTCTCTCTATCCTTCTCAACTCACTCACTTCGCTCTTGCACATCTCTATTCACCAATTAAAGAGGTATTTAGTCATTCATTAAATATCAATACATGTTTAATTATCTGTTTTTCTCTTGGATGAAATTGTTGCAATATATGCATGAATTTCTATGCTTGTTTTTGTTAATTGATTAATGGGGAATTTTTAATCAGCTATGTTTGAATTCTGGGTATTATTGTATAGTATGTGCTCACTAATGTGTATTATTTGAGCTAATTTCAATTTTTTCTGCTCATTCTTGCTAATGGGTTGATGGGGTTTTTAGGCAATTTTATGTTGTGGGTAGTATTGTTCGATTACAAAGTATTTGCTACCTATTATTGGTTAATGGAATTTTAATTTACTAATTTCAGAATTGTGGGTTGTATTGTATTGTATAGTAATTCTCTTCGATTTTTTTTTGCTAGTGAGATGTTGTGTTTATGCTGAATTTCAATTTTATCTGCACATGATTGCTAATGGGGTTTCTTTTTTGGTAAAATTGAATTGTGGATTGTATTGTATTGTATATGCTCTGCATTATTGTTAGTGGAATAATATTTTTTGTTGCTAATTTTGAATTATGGAAGCAGGAAAATGGCAGCAGTCCAGCTTACAGCAGCAACTGTTTCAAGCAGGAGTTTACCCACTTTTGAACAGCTTAGGACCTCATCACTTAAAGTTGCCGCCTTTGTTCCGTTGAGACAAGGGCTTAGCCAGAGGTCTTTCCGCCCTCTCGTTGTTAAAGCTGCTACTGTTGTTGCCCCTAAGGTACTTTTGCTTCATTTAATTTGGCTGATTTTCATGCTTTGGTAAGTTAGTTTTGCATGTGATTTGTCGTCCAAGAACTGTTTTAATTGCTGGAATGTTACTTGATATTTTCCTGTTAAGGATTCTAGGTGTGATTGTGGCATGATTATATATGTTGGTTGTCGTAGTCAATCTAGCAATGATGTTGAATTGAATAGGTTGAGTGTTTTATATTTGTGATTTCATTGGATGAAGGAATTATTGCGACTAAGTAGACAATTTGATATTTGATAGAAATAATGACGAAGTTTGATAATTGTTGGCTTGAATATTCTAAACTGGTGATTACATTTGATGGGAGGATAATTGGGGAATAAGTATTCAATTTGATGTTTTCTGGAGGCAATGATGAAGTGTAGAAATATTTGGTTTAATTGTTTGACATTATTGAATGCATTGGATGGTAGTATAATTGGGGATGAAGTGTATTATTTTAAAGTCTGTTGCTTCCATGTATTCATTTTTTTCTTTCCTACGAGGTTGGTGCAAGCTGATGTGATTCTAGGCGTCTAGCCGTGCATTATGGTGTGTTGGTAGACGATGATTTTAATGTTTAAATTGTTGAGCTGCAAAAGCAATCCACCAATTAGAGTTGTTTGATTGCGAGGTTCTGGGAGGAGAGCCTTCCTGTCACTTTTTTTAGTGAAGAGTTGTTTTTAGGTCTCTAAAGTAGTAAATCATTGTAATTTGTAGATGTTTTGTCAACTGAGATTTGTTAATTTTAGGAGCAGTCTAGATTTTGGGTGCTCTGCTATAGTATATAAGCCTTTTTTTTTTTTTTTTTTTTTTTTGGTTGAAGTTTAAGATCCATATCTTTTTATTGTCTATTCTGTGTAAATCTCTGATCAGTTGTATAATATACTGCTCTACATTAAGAGGTGCCTTGGCTTCTCACTTTGTGACCTGTGGACAGCTTGTGTTGAGTCTGTTGACTAATTAAAGTTAAGAGAGATTATTGTTATGTCATCCATTATTGATGTTATTGGCCCCACAGTTTTCTATCTTTGAACGCATGGGTTATTGTTGCCTATGATATTATTAACGTTCTTTGTTGGTGTTTAATAGCTGAAATCTAATTTTAGACCATAATTTGCTGAAACTATGAATGGAGTATATTTATAAATGATAGTGTGAAATTATATTTGCTAGAATTGGGTTATTAGCTGCTGTTTAGTTGTACTAAGTACTAACCCCATTCCTTGGCATAATTGCACAAGGCTTCCAGGTAATTTGAGGTTGAATGTTAGCTGCTATTTATATTTTTTTTTTTCTTTCAAAAAATACACTAATATAGATTTAAAAAAGAAAGATTGATCGTGAACTTTTGGTGTAAGTTTTGTTCTTGGATACTACATAGTCGAGTAGTGACACTTGTAGGCATGTAGCACTTTTGGATGTCAAAAGTGTCCTTAAGTATTGTGTAGATTGTTATTGCCTAATGAAAAACATTTTTTCTACTAAAGTTTGATAAATTACTGATCTACTCATTGTGTTGATCAAATTGAACAGTATACTGAAATTAAGCCTCTGGCTGATAGAGTGTTAATCAAGATCAAAGAAGCAGAGGAGAAGACCTCTGGTGGAATATTGCTACCCTCAACAGCTGTGACTAAGCCCCAATCTGGCGAAGTGGTAGCTGTTGGAGAGGGCAGGACTATTGGGAAGAACAAAGTAGAAATCGGTGTCAAGGTACTTATTTTTGACTAAAAAATGTTTTTTCGGTGCTAATACATTTTGTTTGCTGGTTGACAAATGTTTTTCTGTCTTCTTCACTTGGTGCAGACCGGTACCCAGGTAGTATATTCCAAGTACGCAGGGACTGAGCTGGAGTTTAATGGGACAAACCATCTGCTATTGAAGGAAGACGACATTATTGGCATTCTTGAGACAGATGAAATAAAGGATCTTAAGCCTCTGAACGAGAGAGTTCTCATTAAGGTCAGTGTTTGGGTCAGTGTTTGAGTTCCGTATTATCAATTTTTATACAAGTACTAATTTGTGAAATCTCCCCTTGGGTGTTTTATCTTATCACTATCACCTGCCATGTTTTGTTATGTTTCTTTTTTTTTAATCGTTTGATTAGATGTATGAGCAATACAAGAAAATTCCATGTGTTTAGTTTTGGCACAATCAGATGGTGACTTTATTACTAGAAAATCTATTGGATTCAACGGTGCAGTATCTAATGTTATCAATAGTCTGATGATTTAGAAAATAGACTTATAAGGGGTTTATTACTTTTGGTCTGTGCCTATATGATAATCCAAAGGGATTTGGAATGAAGCAATTGCTTGACTCCATCATCCTTGGATTTACATGTTTGCAAATATTCCATCTTTTTCTAATTGTTGTGAGATTTAATTGAATGGAGCATGCATTTTTCTTTATAATTCTCGTACTTTTGATGGAAGCTGAATGTTTTATTGAATACTATTGGTGCCTGAACTTATAGGTCGCTGAGGCTGAAGAGAAAACTGCAGGAGGTTTATTGTTGACCGAGGCATCAAAGGAGAGGCCCTCAATTGGCACTGTAATTATCTCCAATCTCACTTGTGTTTGTTTATGTCTTCCTTTCTTTAGGAGTTTAGGGGTGGCCGGGTTTGGGTGTTAGTCCCGCCTATTTCTTAATGCTTACAAATTTTTTGTGGAACAGGTGATTTCCGTTGGGTCTGGTCCCTTGGATGAGGAGGGAAACAGAAAACCATTGTCAGTTTCACCAGGAAACACAGTGATGTATTCCAAGTATGCAGGAAGTGAGTTCAAGGGCAAAGAAGGTTCTGACTACATAGTGCTTCGGGCATCTGATGTTATGGCTGTGCTCTCATCTTAATCTCAGATCCCGATATGTAAAAGGAACGTTTAGGTGGTAATGATTTTTGTAGCAGCTTGCAGGATAATTATGAATCATGAAGTGTCCATTTAGTTATGCTTGCAATTTTGATTGTTGAGTTTCACATTTCACTTTAATTATGTATTCTTGAACCCAAAAACGGAATCAATAGAA